GAAATCCAGACACTAGACAATGTGATGGTCACAATATCCAACAGCCAATCCAAAATTGGTACAGATATCAGTTGCCAGTTTCACATGTAAGGAGCTTGGAAATGCCATACCTCCTAATAAATAAAAAGCTGAACAGACTGAAAAATCAGTAACTATTCTTGGATCTGTAAGATCCAGAGCAAAACACTACACCTAATACTAGAGAGACAGCAAAGCAACTACAAGGAGTCACAGCTAACGGAGCAGGGACTGGTAAGTGGAGATCTCCTCAGGAACCACTGGCTCGGTAGGAAAACCTGAACTGTAAATGATGAATTGATGGAAGCTCAGTGTGGACAAGTCTGACGGTTAAAAACTCCAGGAACATTTTAGGAGACCCCTCATAATATTGTGAGATTTACCTCCAGGAGCTTGACCAGATTCCCGCAATAAATATGGGAGACAAATCCCCTCAGGATTCTGCCAGGGAGAGGGAGAAAAGAACCATTTTTAAAAACACAGGAGAACTCTGTTCTTCCTTACAAGGCCTACCCTCAGGGGGAACTTGTTAAACAAAGCCAACCTGAACTAGGGGAAGGGAAATACCCACTCCAGCCTATGCTAACCATCCTGTACCACATATAGGTTGTTGGGAGTTGGGGGTATGGAGAAAAAACTGAGAAACAGTTGTGAAGTTCATAGTCCACAGGTAAGACTTACTGAAACACTGAGATCTAATCACTAGACTATATAATGCTTCTCCCACACCCCAGAATCACTTTACTAAAAAAAGTAGTTTGTTTACAGCAGTTCATTTTATGTGATACATCATGTCTGAATATCAAGAGAAAAATCACAAGGCATTCTAAAAGGCAAGAAACATAATTTGAAGAGTCAGAGCACGCATCAGAATCAGACATGGCAGAGATATTGGAATGGTTAGACCAAGAATTTAAAACAACTATGATTAATATACTAAGGCAACAATTTTCAACTTTTTTCTTCTTATGGCACACATAAACTAGTTACTAAAATTAGTAATTTTGCCAATCTGACAAAAATAAGTATAATTTTGGTTGGCATACAAAAAATAAATAATAATAATTACCTACCTTTTTTGCTCCAAAGAGACTTTTTAAAAAATCAGGTGCCTATACTTGTGTATAAAAATTCCCGTACCAAGAATTAACCAATCAGAAGCAACCTTATTATGCAACCTGACCAATATATACAACTCTATTTTGTGACCTATTTATTTTTGGTTCAAGGCAGGGTGTTCACACCAGATGCCTATTGTTGTGTTGGCTCTTGTTGTTTTTTAATTTGACAGTCTAAGGGAAAGATGTCAGTGACCTAACTAAGTAGTCAGGTATTGCATATTTTAAAGGTTGTTGCAGCACACTGGTTGAAAATCACTGCAGTAAGGGATCTAATAGATAATAGACAGCATGCAGAAACAGATGAGCAATATAAGCAGAAAAGGCAATCCTAAGACAGTATCAAAAAGAAATGCTAGAGATTTTTTAAAAACTAACAGAAATAAAGAATCTCTTCTACACAGCTAAAGAAAGAATCTCTGAGCTAGAAGATCTATCAATAGAATCCTTGAAAACCATAAAGTAAAGCGAACAAAGACTAGAAAAATCGAAACAGAAAACCCAAGGACTATGGGACAACTACAAAACATGCCACAAACATGCAATAGAAACACTAGAAGGAACAGAAAAAGAGAAAGGAACGGAATACTATTTGAAATATTGATGACTAAAAATTTCCCCAAAGTAGTTTCAGATACTAAATCACAGATCTAGGAAGCTAAACAAACAACAAGCAAGATAAATGTCAAAAATAAAATACACCTAGGCATATCATTTTTAAATTATGGAAAAGTTAAGATAAATAAAATATCCTGAAAGAAGCCAGATGAAAAAAAAAAAGCCTTACCCACAGAGAAACAAAGATGATAATTACATCTGATTTCTCAGAAACAACATATATGCTTATGTATGGTAACATATAAGTGAAATGAACGCCAGTAATGATACAAAAGATAAGAGGGAGGAATTTTGTTATTATATGATAGTCACTCTATCTGTGAAGTGATAGCGTTATTTGAAAGTGAACTTGGATCTGCTGTAAATGTATCCATTATAAACTCCAGAGCAACTACTAAAAAAATTTTTTAAAAGTATTACTTATATGCTAAGAAAGGAGATAAAATGGAACAACATAAAATGTTTAATTAACAATACAATAGGCAGAAAAAAGTAGAAGACAAAAACAGAAACAGAACAAGTCAACAAACAAATGTTAATGAATATGTTAGATGTTAATCTAAGTATTGATAGATCAATAATCACTTTGAAGTCAATAGTCTAAATGTACTAATAAAAATCCAGAGGTTGTCAGAGTGAATCAAAAAACAAGAACCAAGTATATGCTGGCTACAAAAAGTATCCTTAAATATAAGGACACATAAACATGTAAAGTTAACAAATGGAGAAAAATATACCATTACTGACATTAATCAAAAGAAAGCAGGGGTAGCTATATTAATTTCAGACAGAGCAGACTTCAAAACAAGGAAAGCTATCAGGGGTAAAGAAGGGCATTACATAATGATGAAGGGGTTAATTCTCCAAGAAGATAATAACCCTTAAAGTGGATGCACCTAACAACAGTGTCAAAACTACATCAGCAAGCTGGAGTCTCCAAGGGTGTGAAGGCTAGCAGGCTGCTGTCAGAGAGGAACAGCTAATGCTGCAGATGCAGACCAAAGGCAGTCTGCTGCAGAATTCTCTCCTGCTTGAGGGAAGCCAGTCTTCTTGTTCCCTTCACACCTTCCACTGCCTAGATAAGTACCCACCCACATTATAAAAGGCAATCTACTTTACCCAAAGTCCAGTGATTTCAATGTTAATTTCCTCCAAAAATACTCTCACAGAAACACCCAGAATAATATTTGACCAAATAAATATCAGGGTACCCCTGGCCTAGCCAAGTTGACACATAAAATGAACCATCACAAAATAGAACACTAAAAATAACTCAATCCAAAGGATGTCAGGAAAGGGGGGAAAGAGAACAATGAACAAATAGAACCAACTTAAAAAAAAACAACAACAAAAAAACAGGTAATGGTAAATTTAAAGCCAATGTACTAATAACTACATTAAGTATATTGACTGGCCAATACAGTTCAATTAAAGGGCAGAGAATATCTGGCTGGATAATACAGCCCAAACTATATGTCTAACAAAAAACCCACTTTAAATATAAACACAGAAAGGATATGCCATGCAAACACTAAGCATAAGAGAGCTGGAGTGGCTAAATTAATAACAGAGACTTCAGAACAAGAAATGTTACCATGAATAAAAAGGGACATCGCATGATGATAAAGGGGTTAATTTGTTAAGAAAACATATCTTCTCAATGTGTATGTACCTTACAGTAACACTTTAAAATATATAAGCGAAAACTATAGAACTTTTTTCTCAGTAATTGATAGAATATTAAGCAGAAAATTAGTAAGATATAGACTCAAAATATTTTCAACCTTTTTCATCTAATTTAAATTTTATAAAACTACACAATGTACATTTTTTGACGTGTACATAGAAATTCACCAAGATAGAACATATGCCAGACTACAGAAGTATTCTTAAAAAATTCTTTTAAGAATTAAAATCATACAGTTTTTTTTTCCTCCTGCTTCAAACAATGGACTTAGACATAAGTCTAATACCATAGGATAGCTTTACAAATCCCCAGATATTTGGAAATTAAACAATATACTTCTAAAATAACCCACGAATCAAAAAAGAAACCAAAAGTGAAAAAAAAAGAGCATTGGGCATACAAAAAATATTGCTTTCTGTCCTTAAGGATCTCACAACCTAACAGGGCAAGTTTGCAATTGATATGGAAACTACTGTAATAGAGCAAAAGTGTTATGCCGGCATAGATACGGGAATGATGTACTTTACACAGTAAATGTCATTTGAGTAATCGCAACATGATTGGCATTTAACAATAAAAGAGAATAGTATGGTTTAAAAATACAGGGGCATAAAATGGCATGGCATTTCATTTACTGAGGCTAGAGGGAGGATGTGGAAAAGATAGTGTTAAGAGATAAGGCCAAAATATTGGGAATTGGTTGAATAACGAGTTGGAGATTTGGGACTTTATCTGTGGGCTTCTGGAAGCCACAGGAGGCATCTAAAGCAAAAAAAAAAAAAAAAAGTGTTGGGGGGGGATATGATTAGACTTCTGTATTAGAAATACATCTCTGGCTATCTTCAGTACAAAAGGTGAAGAGGGTTGGGGCTGGGAGTTGGGGAGGACGCAGATGTGGATGCTGAGTGATCAATTAGGAATGAACAGAAATAATCCAGAGAGAGAATAATGAGGATCTGAACTAAGGTAGCTAAGAGTTTAAATGGTGAAGGACATTCTCTTTAAGAGTCAGGAGTCATGGGCATGAATTCATGCTCTTATAAGAAGTCAACGTTTACTCTTGAACACGTTGCTTCACTGCTCTAGGCCTTAGGAGCATCATCTCTAAAATGGGACATGCCAATAAAAATAAGTGCCAGGGACAACCCAGTGCCATCTTAGAACTTTTGTAACCATCTCTGAATATCTGTTCCCTCTCCATGGAAAGCTCTTCATCTGCATCTTCATAGGCTGAGTCCTTTTCTTCTTTCAGATATGGAAAATACTCACTTCTGGGGACATTTCTCTAACTTTCTAATCAAACCAGCTTCTACTGCTCACTGTTTAATATATCACCTTTTAAAAATTTTCTCAATAATATTTATTAATAGCATTTATTAATATCCAAACTTGTTTTTATCTATTTGCTGCCCTTTTGTTTGTCTATATCTCACTGTAACAAAAGCTCTGTGAGAAAAGGGAACTTAACCTGTTTTATGTCCCACTGTTTGTCCAGCATCCAACACCAAGTATTTGTTGAGTATTGGATCCAATAAAACCCATTTCTTTTTTTTTTTTTTTAGGGGAGAGCACGAACACAGTCCCTGACTACCACAAAGTATGCAGTCAAGTTTCCCACATTTGGGGAAATCTCAGAGGTCAACACACCCAGAGAGCAATGGGTGAGGCTCACCCTGGGAAAATCACCATCATGATCATGAAAACCATTGCTTTTTATGCTTGTCATGAGATTTGCCTAAGATTACACAACTAATAAATAGTAGAAATGAAAATCATTGTCTTCTGATTCCCCAGTTCACTGATCATTCTCCCGTCTCTGGAAAAAAATGCGTTATATCTGGTTGTTTATGTCATAAGACCATTAGGAAGTTCAAACAAGATGATAAGATAAAAGGTATAAGTTTTCTGAGATGACAAGACATAGAAGTTGTCCAAAAAGGAAATAGTGATTCAGTGCCTCTAGAGGCTGAGAACAATTCACAAAAGACACTATATGGGCAATGTTGAACTTGGGAAGCTTGGAAAATGTCAATCTTTGTTCCTGCTAATAAGTTAAGCCCAGCATTAGATGCTGCTGAGAATGAGAAATCAAAGGGATATATGATATAGGAGGGAAGTGGATGGGGCAAAGGAAATAGGAATCTGTATCATTAAAATACTACTGATGTTCTGAGGTGGACAGGATTCCCATTTCATCACGTCTAATATACTTTCCTCTTCTGGCCTCTGAGTAAGAGTTTATATCCTGCTGGATTTTTTCCACTTACAGGGCTGAAAAGATAATATCTGTGATGGAGAAAGAGAGAGAAGTTATCTGCTAGGCAATGGATGACTAAGAATCTAAATTTGATTTGATACATTATAATAATCTATGCATCTATTGCTCACTTGTCCATTATTTATTGCATAATAAATGAATGAATTTATGAAACAGAAAGTCCTGCCAGGCATTATTCTAGTCCTGTATGAGGCACCCGGCTTGGTATGGTGATGAAGAGGTGAAAAGAAGAGCCATGGACTTTATCTTAGGGACCCTGAAGGTCAGAGGAGAACACAGATGTTAACCAAATACAGGTATGATAAGTTCTTATCTTGTTGAGGTGATTCTGGGAAAATACCCACTCCTCAATGAGACTCGGGGCACCCTGTAAAAGAGGTTTTTTAATTGTAATCTTTCTATTAAAGTAAAAAATATAACAATAAAGCTATTTTATTTTAATATAAATGGTAGAATTTTGAAACAATCTTAAATTTGAAATGTATTTGTTCCTATGTTTTTGAAAAAAAGATATGTGCAGTTTAAAAATATTTGTTTTTTAGACTTTTTCAGCTTTTTTGAGGTATAATTGACAAAAAAATTAAGATATTTAAAGTGTACATTGTGATGATTTGATATATGCATATATGTTGTTAAAGAATTCCTCCCAGTGGTTAATTTACACATCTCTCACCTCATATAGTCATTTCTTTTTGGGGGGATAAGAACATTAAAGTTCTACTGTCTTAGTAAATTTCAATTATATAATGTGCTATCAACTATAGTCACCATGTTACACATTAGATTCACAGACCTTATTCATCTTATAGCAGAAAGTTTGTATTTTTCTACCAGTTTCTTCCTATTTCTCCCACCCCCTAGCCCCTGGCAGCTACTGTTATACTATCTGTTTCTGTGAGTTTGGCTTTTTTTTTTTTTAAGATTCTGTATATAAGAGATATCAACAGTATTTGTCTCTCTCTAATTGGCTTATTCCACTTTGTACAATGTCTTTAACGCCCATCCATGTTGTCAACAGCAGAGTTTCCTTCTTTCTCATGGCTGAATAGTGTTCATACATATACACATATGTATACACATATGTATATGTGTTTATATGTCACATTTTTATTCATTCATCTGTTGACAGACACTTAGGTTGTTTTTATATCTTATATTTCCATTCCATAGGATGGCTTTTCATTTTTGTTGATGGTTTCCTTTGCTATGCAGAACTTTTTTAGTTTAATGTTGTCCCACTTTTTATGTTTTCCTATAGGTGTTTTATGATTTCAGATCTTAAATTTAAATCTTTAATTCATTTTGAATTGTTTTTTGTGTGGTATAAAATAGAGTTCCAGTTTTATTCTTTTGCATGTGACTGTCCAGTTTTCCCAACACAATTTATTAAAGAGATTATTTTTCCCCATTGTATATTATTAGCTCCTTTTACATAAAAATTATTTGACCATATATGCAGGGGTTTATTTCTAGTCTCTCTATTCTCTTCCATTGATCTATGTGTTTGCTTTTGTTCCAGTACCATATGTTTTGATTACTATAGCTTTGTAATACAGTTTAAAATTAAAAAGTGTGATGCCTTGGCCTTTGTTTTTCTTTCTCAAGATTGCTTTAGCCATTCTGGTCTTTTATTGTTCCATACAAATTTTAGAATTTTTTTCTACACTTGATCTTAGCCAAAAGGTCGAGAAGCAATTGATTTTTTTTTTATTTCTGTGAAAAATACCATTGAAAATTTGTTAGGGATGAATTGAATTGAACCTTTAGATTGCTTTGGACACTATGGACATTTTAATATTAATTCTTCCAATCCATGAACATAGAATATCTTTCCAATTATATGTCTTTGATTTTATTTATCAGTGTTTTATAGTTCCATCATACAGATTTTTAACCATTTTGGTTAAGCTTATTTCTAAATATTTTACCTATAATATAAATATAACATAACATATATTTATAACATAAATATAAATATGTAAGGTTACACCACCCTGGATGCACTAGATCTCATCTAAATATTTTATTCTTTTTGGTGCTTTTATAATTAGGAATATCTTCTTAATTTCTATTTCTGATGGTCCATTATTAATGTATAGAGACGCAACTGATTTTTGTATATTATATATTCTGAAACTTTACTGAATTAATTTATTAGATTTAACAGTTTTTTAGTGGAGTCTGTATTGGTTTCTATATATAATGCATCATCTTCAAACAGAGACAATTTTACTTCTTTATTTCTAATTTGGATGCTTTTTAATTATTTTTTTTGCCCAGTTGCTCTGATTAGGACTTTCAGTACTATGATGAATAAAAGTGGTGAGGGTGGGCATCCTTTTCCTGTTCCTGATCTCAGAGGAAAAACTTGCAGCTTTTCACCATTGCATATGATATTCTCTGTGAAGTTATCATAAATGGCCTTTACTACACTGAGGTATATTCGCTCCCTATCCAGTCTGTTGAAAGGTTTTTTGGGTTTTTTTAAATCATGAATGGATGTTGAATTTTGTCAAGTACTTTTTCTTCCTCTATTAAGATAATCATATTTTTATCCTTTATTTTGTTAATGCATATAATGTTGATTGGTTTATGGGTGTTAAACCACTCTTGTATCTCTAGATCAACTCCCACTCGATCATGATATACAATCCTTTTAATGTACTATTGTATTTGGTTTGTTAATATTTTATTGAGGATCTTTGCATCTGTATTCATTAGGGATGTTGCTCTATAATTTTCTTTTATGTGCATTACTTTTCTGTGGGGAGGAGATTCAAATCTTCCCCTGAATATCAGCCATCTTCAATTTGATGTAGTATTCTACTTGGCCCTTGTTTCCTAATCAGACAAAAGTGAGAACCATTTATAATTGACCTCATAAGAGGACAGACTTAATGTCCATCTCTTAGGGACAGTTGGAAGCAAAACAAAACAAAACAAAACACATTCAGTCCATAATGCTGTTTTTCTACTCTAGAACCCACAGAACAAAGTGTTCTTTCTTCTCTGAGTAGGCAGGAATGCCTCAGTTCTGTTGAATACCTGTAGACTTGTCACAGAGGTAGAGTTGTCACAGATGTTGAATCATTGATAATAATGTGGATAATGCTACTGTCTCTCTCACAGTGGGGCCATAGAGGTTGAGTTGTGGTGCTTAACTGCTGAAAGCCAGGAGTTTGCAGTTATAATAACTGGTAAAGTTGGAATAGCAGCTGTAGGACTTGAGCTATAGAGAGTTGGGGAGATAGGTAATAGAATACCACATCTCTAGGGGCAAAATAGATGGGCAATTAATGAAGATACTGCTCAATATGTATAATCCAAAGATAGCAAGCTTGGTGGAACAAGAGATTCAAGGAGGCTGTCACAATAAAATGTCCCAATGCCTTACCTAATTTTTTTATATTTAAATTAGTTTTCAGACTGAAAACTTATTGAGTAAAGATGTGGCTCAGTTCTCATGAGGAAGGACCCTGCCAAACCACAACAAAACATACTGCATTAATTCCCTCATTTCTGCCCCAAAAGGAACTTCAGCCATTTATTTGGTTGACTGGGAAAAAGGGAACTCTGAGAGACATGGGGAATTATCACAGATCCCTTGTTAGAGTAAAGGCATATAAGGAGCCTGTAAATAAAGTTCACCAAATATTGTCAAACAATCAGTCTACCTGGTTATCACTTCCCCAGTCCCTGAATGGATAAATGGGATTTATGTACTTGGCAGTTGGAGTAACCCCTATACTGGGTCTGTAGGGTAAGAGCTATCACAATGGAGAAATCAAAGAGAAGCCTTTGACAATGTTCTCTCACCCTTGACAAGAGGGTAAAAAAAAGATAATGTCACATCTCCATGGGATGAAAATTATTTTCACACTAAGGATTTCAAGGATGTAGGAATAGAGAACTCCATCACATTGAATAAGTCTAGCCCTTGCTGAAACCAAATCTCAGAGAATGTAGACTACTGCAAGTTCAACAAAAAAGTAGTCCCAATGCTGCAGTTGTATTAGAGATGATATCTTTGATAGAGAAGTCTAAAGGGGCCTTAGGAAGCTTTACTGGGTGAATGTTTCTTTTCTATACTGATCAGATTTTTAAAAGCTAGCATTCACATGGAAGAGACAAAATATTCATGTACAATTTTCTATTATAATATAGCCCTAAAAGATTTGAACCTCTAGGACATTCATGGAACGTGATATTGAGGACATCATGCTGATTAATCTGAATGAACAAGTATCTAATAAACAGGAAGGCTTGGGAAGACAGAGGCACTCCAGAATATGTGAAATAAAACCTACAAAGATTCAGAGATCATTTCAGTCAAGTTTTTAGCAGTCCAGTGCTTGAGGGCATGCTGGGATATGCCCTCCAAAGTAAAAGACAAATTCCTGAATCTTGCATCTACTACCATAAAGAAGGAAGCAAAACACTTGG